TTGCTAAAACATTTTGAAAATTTAAAAACAAAATGTAGAATTTTACGTACGTTTTTCAAAGGTCAAAGGTCAAAGTGTTTGTTTTGTTTTTTCCCGCTCTGGTCGACTCGTTTGAATGTGCCGTTTCCTGTTTCCTGTTTCCTGTTTCCTGAATCTGCACTTTATCAAAATATGAATCTAATAAAATCAAACTGAACAGATCTGCCCTGGTGCCTCATGGGAAATGTAGTTTTTACACACACAAAAACAACTTTGATTTATTCTTCTACAAAAACAAATGATTTTTACTTTTTATTACCATTTAAAAATTATTTGTCGGTCGGTAAATAAGACAAAGCTCCTGAACCACACAAACTCTGAACTTTTAATACATTAATTTATTATTTATTTATTTTGCACATATAACATGACAATAAAAAGAAACACACTGATAAAAAGTAGGTGCTGGAAGAAGCAAATTAAATCCTCCACCTCATGTTCACAGAAAAAAATTGAACATTATCGTTGTGCATTAAAAAAAAAAAAAAAAAATATATATATATATATATATATATATATATATATATATATTTTTTTTTTTATATATATATATATATATAAATAAACCAAAAACAAGGGGTTGGTCGACCATGAGGATCATACAGATGAGCCACTGAACAGCAACAGGAAGAACAGGACGTGGGTAGATGTGTCCTGGTCAGTCTGGCGCCACCTACTGTCTCCTCTCAGTTTCATTTCTCTCCAGCTCGAGATCAGGAGTCAGAAAACACTAGACCAGGGGTGGGCAAACTACGGCCTGGGGGCCGTATGTGGCCCTTTAAACCTTTTAATCCGGCCTGCTGAACTTGAATACATTATAATAATAAACCTTGTTAATGTTTTACTTTTCCTGTATTTCAGGCGTTTCCCAGTAGATGGCGCTCTACACACTGAGGTGTGGTGTGTTTTATGGGAAAGTGTTGACAGGAGGGATTCTCAGTCGTGTATTTGGACCATGAGTGAGGCAGAAGTTCAACACAAAACACTGCACTGTTTCTGTTCTGAGGTGAGTGGAAGTAAACTTGATCAACTTGTTGACCTCTTGTTACGGAGTTTTTAATCATGAAGCATCATGACGTGTAACGGAGCAGAAAGTGTCACAGGGGAGAAGTTTAGTTTGGCTTTTGTTCGTACCGGGGCAGTGTTGCAATCACGCATTTTGATCAGTGAAAATTCATATTTAGGGAGGTCGGCTAAAGAAAATGTGGTGACGGCCACAACTAGACGGCGCCCAGAGAATATTCCAGAAGTATTTGTGTTGTGGACACATTCACACTCAACTTCAAATTGTAGTAACGGGGTTCGAGCGTTTACATGCAGCAAGACTCAAAAAACCCGACGGTCCCAGAGACTCTGATGTTGATGTAAACTCACTGATGATGAACAAGGCTCCAGATCAAACAGAAGTGTTGTTCTCAGACTCACACACCGACTCTGTTCTGTCCATCGAACAGAAGAAGATCTGCAACTTCTACTGTTTTTAAATAAAGAGTCAGGAGGAGAAGAGACGATGAGAAGATCCTGAAGGAGAAACAACCTTCACTGCTTTGACATAGAAACTGTTAGGAATTTTAAAAAGTGTATATATTTTATTAATTTAGTTTTCAGTGTTTTAGAAAGACAGATATTTTGTTGTGATGTTTTGTAGTGACTTAACAAACGAATCCTAAAGCTGCGACGTCCTCGTTACACACAGGCACATTAATATTAATTTGGATTATTAGTTGTTTTTGTTCCTTTTGTAGTAAGTTGTGATTGGTCCTTTTTGATATGGTTTTTGTCTATGGTTTGTTTTTGTGTGGCTAATATATAATAAATATGTCTGTACAAAGATGCAAAAAACCCCAAGTCACTCACTGCTTCAAAATAAAATACCTTTATTAGTTTACGTCTTAATGGACGACTTACAAAGTCCTGACGTGTCTCAATCAAATCAAGCAAATTATCAAAAACAACTGGGACATTATTGAGAGTGATGAGACACTGAAAAGAAATCTTCCCAGAGCCTCTGTTGGTTAGTTTTAAAAGAAGCTCTGCTCTCCCTGACAAACTGGTCCACAGCCACCAGCACCTGAACAAACCTCGACCAACAGGTTCTTTTAAATGTAACATCTGCCCCACTGCACAAACAAATGTCAAACCAAGACATTTCTGGACTATCATTCACAAAAAGAATACACAATAAAACATTTTATCAACTGTAAAACAACTTTTGTTATTTACAGACTTGTTTGTTCTACTTGTAGTTGTTCTATGTAGGGATGATAAAAGACGCCTACAACAGCGTTTGGCTGAGCATAAATATGCTCTGTGCACAGTCAGTACCAACTACCCCATGGCCAGACACTTTTTGGACTTTCATGACAGTGACTCATCTAATCTGCAGGTACAAGGAACTGACCATGTACCAGACTCTTTGTGAAAAGGAAACAGGATTCAACTCAAACAATGTGAAAACTAT